TATATATATATATATATATATATATATATATATATATATGTGTGTGTATGTGTGTGTGTGTTTGTTCAAGACCTCATTATAACGTATCGTTTAAGGCCTCAAAATTCTCAGTCTCGGGATCGATCTTGAGAACACACAAAGTCACAAATTTAAAATATGTTGAGGGCCCATGACATCCCATTTGAAAGTTGATGGCTCAAAATATCGAGCCTTAACTTTTACATTTAGGTTTGAGGCTCCATAAACACAGTGAAAATGGTGCATCGGTTAAAGTACCATGGACCCCCCATGCGGCCCTTGAACAAAGCAAGTTATTTCTTTCTGTAAATAGTAATGAATAAGAAAGTTTACTTTATTCAAGTCATATCACAAAAATTGTACATTTATACAATAAAGTATAATTTTGAATTAAAGTTGATCCCTGAAAAACTGAACACAATAAGAAAGGTTGTCTTTCAAATTCAATAATCAATTTGTACAAAAAGAGCAAGTGCACGAATGAATAATAAATGTTGTTGAGGTTTTTGTCTTTCGATGTCTTCGAATTTATTCAATTCATAGCAAAAGTGAATCGATGCTCATCACCTCTGCCTTAACATGTATTCGGTAAATTTTTAAAGAACGTTTCAATAGGAATTTTGGCCTTTTGAGGAAAGATAATCGATAATCACAATCAGAGAAGGGTTGGTATCAATGTATCCATGTGTAGAAGGCACGATTGGCAAGAACAACCCTATTCTTGTGATCGTGGATGGCACAAAAAGAGGAGCGTATGAATTTTATTTTTCCATGATTTATACTTTAGTTTGAGCGGCGATATTAATGGAGATCATAGTTCGCGTTTTTGACTTGGGACAGAAATTTGTGTTTGATAAACTTTTTTTTTTTATCAATTATGAGTAGATTATAAAAATCGATACTAAGAGCCTGTTTGGGAGTGATTTTAAGAATTGATTTTTTTACCGTTACGAGAAAAGTGAGGTTCACTTGTGAGAGAAGAAGTCAAATATGACGGCTGGAATAGTGAAATAATGGTCAAAAAATTAATTTTTTGGAAGAAAAAATTGCTCCCAAACAGCCCTTAAGCATGCACTTCGGACATAGAATCTATTAAAGTAAAATTTGAGAAAAAGGAACGGATTGTATGTAAAAAGATAAATTAGAAAATTAAAGATTCATTTTCTTCCCAATCCAATTTGCTTATATAAAGTAATAAAATACTAGGAGGTAATTCAGGAATTACAGTTAATATGTCATTAACTGTTAGTATCAGTGCCGAAATTTTATCATTACACTGTCAATTCAATAATTTGGTTTGTATGATTACTTAATGATGAGAATCATTGGATTATGGCGTTTAAGTCACTTCAGGAAACGATTAGAGAACTTTGGGTCGTAGATAAGATTAACTATAGACCAATGAGGCTCGAATGTTTATTCATTAGACATCAGTACTACATAAGTTGTATCCCTTGATAACATTGGAATTCTCTTAGAAGAGGTAAAGTGGGCCCACTCTACTTTTTATTAGCATGGAACGACCTACACTTCTTTATCTAAGCTACCGACCAACATGTCTATCCAAATAAAACACGACTAATTCATAAAGACGAACCCGTCATAACAATTGGATCCTAAAAAATCAAGCCATCAAGGTGCTTAATTGAGTAGACACTTATTGTACCAAGTTTATTAACATCGGTAAACCAATCCTTCCTCCTAGACAAGTTTGCCTGTTGGCTGATATTAGTACTATTAACATCAACAAACCATTTAGCAATTGCCACCTCTACATTGGATCACCCAAATGGTAAACTTGGATGTACAAGTAGCATTACACCTTCTCAATGCTTATTTAGAAATCTCGGCTCTCTCCTTTTTCGGTAGGTTATAAACGTTTTAGAAAAATAAGAGAATCCCTCCTTCGAAATAAGTTTGCTTGCTGGTTGATAGTAGTACTATTACTTACTGAACGATGCTACATGCATCGAAATTTTTTATCTAATTTTTTAGCGACTACTCACAATAGGGGGACGGAGACGGAGATCACATTTTGAATTTTTTTTATTCACGTGAATCTAGCGTACATGTGAGAGTGGATTTACAATTTGATAGGGGTGTAAAAGTAGAATCATTCTTACTAACAATAGAACAGTCCTGCACTACATTGCACCCATTTCAGTACTCTATTAATTACCACGAAACTGAAAAAATATTCATCAATTCGAATATCTCCACTTCGCCTCGATCTTATAAACCTGAATTTGAATCAATAAACTCTATGCAATTAATCCACTTTTTGCATCAATCTCCCTCTTCTTTTTCAAATCCCAAGCTCTTCGTTTCCATCTTTCAAACCTCAAAATTAAATCTGAATCATTGATGGCTCGTAAGCAGCCTTTGTTGCATGAGCTACTGAAAGAAGAACAAGAACCATTTCATTTAAACACCTACATTGCAGACAGATGCTCTCAACTCAGAAAATCCTCTTTACAGATCAAGAAACGGAAGCCCATAATTCATACTTCACCAACAGATTTAAAGCACAGTAGCTTTTGCAAGAATGCATGCCTATTTTCGTTCCAAAAGTCGCCGGACTTCAGAAAGTCACCTTTTCAGAGCCCATGTAAATCGCCAAATCGTGCTGTTTTTCTTCATATTCCTGCTAGAACTGCTGCTCTGCTTGTTGAAGCGGCTGTGAGGATTCAGACAAAGCAGTCAAAACGGAAAACCCAGGTAAAAAATGTCGGGTTCGGGTTGTTTGGAACCGCTTTTAAGATGCTGAAAGATCGTACCAAGAACAAAAGTCGTATGCTTGGTGTCTGTGATAATCAGGTTGAAATTTCAAGAAAAAATGAGACCAAAATTGACGAAAAAATAGATATGGATATTAGATTTTCTTGTTCTTGTGATAATTGGTCATCGAGTAATGAGGAGAAGTCCATGGATTTGGAGACATCTACTAGCAGCTGTTCAGATTGTGTTGCTAAAGGGAGAGCAAATATTAATGGCGATTTTGCTTCTTGTGAAAACCGCTTTTGTTCAAGCCCTTTCAGATTTTCTCTACAGAAAAGCCCATCATCCTCCGGTTGTCGGACGCCTGATTTCTCTTCGTCGGAAGCTTCTCCGAGTCGCCGGAGTAAAGGGGTTTGTCTTTTGTTTTCCTTAGTCTCTTAATTAGGCAACTGCACGTCGGTATTTGTCTCATTACTGTACATCCGATCACTCATCTGCCACCAAAATCTATTTCTAACAGTCTCTGTCTCTTAAATTACTGCAAAACAGAATGACAAAACACAATTATATTTTATGATTGGGCCATTTTAATCTGGATTTCGTACATGCATATGAAAGAAAAGCCAGCAGTCCTGATTATCTTCGTTCCTGGACATATATTACATAATCTTGACAATATTCTCTCTTAGTATTTTTTTTATTTTTTAACATTTAATAGGAGAAAGCGATTTGTGGAACAAAATGTTCGGAAGAAATACTAGAAGAAGAGGAAAAGGAAGAGGAAGAGGAAGAGGAAGAGAAAGATCATTTTAGTCCGGTATCCGTATTAGATCCTCCCTTTGAAGAGGACGAGGGACAAGAAAAGGCAAATGTAGACGAGGACGGTTATGATCTTGAATGCAGCTATGCAAATGTACAAAGTATGTAAGATTTCTCATTGATAAAATATATATGATTTTACACGAATGAAGGATCATACACACTCCTCTCAGTTACAAGAATGATTGTGAGGCATATTTGTTGAATCAATTGTTTCTAGGAATCATTGCAGGATCAATATTGATAAAATTAGACCTTCTTAACTATTTAGATTTATCAAGGACTTGTCTTAGTATCTTATCGTTCGTTAACTTTGTTGTTGGTGACTTCTAGTAGATTTCAGATTGATTGAATTTGTGTCACGATTTTGCTCTTCTTGTAATGGCCTAAAGTCTGAATTATTACGCGTCTGAGAGAGAGATTGATTTTGATTTTGATTTTGTGTGTTTCTCTTGCACTGAACTTGCAGGAGCAAAACAGCAGCTGTTACACAGGCTTCGCAGATTCGAGGAACTTGCAGAATTAGATACAATAGAACTCGAGAGAAAGTTGCTAGAAGAATCAGACAGTGACGACCAAGTGGAAAGAGAGGAATGCAAAGACGATGAACCTTTTGCAATTTACAAAGAGCATAGTGTCGACACATTTGCTTCTGAAGTTCTTGCCATATCGAGGTTTCAGAAAATGCAGAAGATTCCTACTGAAATGAAGAGGCTAGTACTAAATCTAATTGTGGAGCAAAAGAGCGAAAGGAATTGCTCGAACAATAGTGATCAAGTAGTATTTGACACCGTAGATATGATGATTGAATTGGCTTTCCGACGAGAATCGAACAGATGGACAAAATTTCGGGAGCAGGAGGAAGAAACTGCAGCAGAAATTGAAGTTGGCATATTTGGGATATTAGTGGAAGAGTTTTCAGAGGAGCTATGTTACTGAATTGGACGTCGTGGAAGACTTGAATAACGTGAACAATTTTTTCTCATATTTTTCTGAAAATTTTTGTTTCAAGTTCGAACATCATAGTCCGATTTTTATGATCAAGAACTCGAGGGATATGATAATAGATTGTAGCATTTGGTTCGCACATATTGCTAGATATGTCTGTTGAGAAGTTCATATAAACCTATTCCTTTCTCAGAAGACATAATAATGTGCAGCTATAGCTTGACCGGAGAGCTGCGTAGGTGACACAGGACGAAAACGTAAATAACAATATAAGGATTTTGATCGTAACACATGAACAAGTATTGCTCGAACGGATGTAAGACATACTGGGATCCACTAGAGAGCGGAAAAAACTGGAATATTATTAATCAAAAATGGCTATATGGCTTTCATTTACACGTATTTAAAGAGTCGAAGTGAAAGTCTAAATCGGTAGGCAAATTCAAATAGAACTAGGAACTTAGAAAAACGACCTAAGTACCCTTAAACTGATTCAAAATGGAAAAATGATAAAAATAGATCCCTAAACGATGGAATTTGACCTTGAAAGTTTGAAGATGTTGGCTGGAGTACTAAAATACGTTTTTGAATTGTACTCGCTCGCGTAAATGTGACAACCAAGCTGAAAGTGTTACGTGCGTTTCATAGTCCCTTCTTATTTCTTTTTTTTTTTTTTTTCAATTGGTTTATGATCTTCTCTTCTAATTGTTCCGCATACAAAAACAAATTTTACTGAGAATTAAAGATGGGTAAAATGCATCCTGAAAATTCATATGAAATGCTTGTGTCAAGTTACTAAATTCAAGATAGGTGACTGTCTACGAACAGGATTCAATTCTGATACATTATACGCTTGAGCTGAATTTGAGTTAGGATGAGGTCGAGCTATTATACTAAGGAAATGCTTACTCTTGTGCTACGGTTGAGTTCAACGACGATGGTTGAGCTTAGCCCTGTTTAGTATAGCTAAAAATCATATTTTTAGTAAATTTCAATGGAAACTAATAAAATATGTGGTTAAAATTAATTGTCGAATATAATTTTAAATTTTTATTAATTTTCTAATTTACATCAAACGAGGGCTTAATATCAATTATAATTTTCTGATTGAATTCTACTTATCATCTAATCTAATATGAGATAGGGTTGACTTGGGAAGCTGTGGTCGAGATGCCACATAATTACTAATGACAGCTCTTTATCTTTATTTATTTATTTTTGGCTATATTCATATCGAAATGATAATATGAGCCTGTTCGGTGGAGATTTTGAAAATTGATTTTTTGACCGTTAAGAGAAAAGTGGGGTCTACCTGTGAAAGAAGAAGTCAAAAATTACGACTGAAATAGTGAAATAATAGTCAAAAAATCAATTTTTTGGGGTGAAAAATCACTCTCAAACGGGGCCTATATACTAATTAGTGAGGGGTGAAGAAAGTACTCCAAGATATTTGTTCATTGTGACTTCACTTATTTTTGGTGGTAGCCCCATTAAAAATCTTCCAATGAACCCAATTGTTAAATGGCAATGAAAAAACTGTTTCAGCCGCATTTTTAAAAAAAAAATACATTCTTAAATAGTGATTTGACATCATTTCAACCACATATTATTTAATAAAATAATGTTACACGCAAATCCAAAATTTTTCCTTATTTTTTAACTATACATTTTTCATTAATCTACTATTCCAAAATATATTCTTTACGAATAATGTGGTTCAAACACACACTAAGTCTAAATATCCATAAGGGGCACTTATATGATCATTCAAGACTGCATTATAAATTAAAGCAAGTTCATACGAAGGATATGTCAAACTATCAAGGCTCAAATAAGATTGAAGTCTTATGAACCTAGCTCACACAATTTTTCTTTTCATCCTTTAAATAAATAAAAAAATTAATTGTAAACTCACAGAAACAAAATGAAGACACGCGAGATGAAATAAATCATGGAGTCAAACAGAAGTGTTTGATGTCATGCAGTAAACTAGATGGACATGCTTTATAGTCTATCTAAACAGAGTTATACTAGAGAAACAGGATGCCTGCTGCTGTTTGAGAAGAATTATTGATCTAGACATAAAGTTGCAGATGTCCCACGTGTGTCATGACATGGTTAGAACTCAGCAATTATAGAGTGATGTCAAACAGGTCGAGCGGCTCGTCGGCTCGACCGTTGAGCTCGTAAAAATGCTGCTCGTGGGTTGTTTGAACTCATCATCATCTCATGCGAGCTGGGACCACGAGCTTGGGCTCACATGAACAGTGATCGGAATGGTCACTGTTCAAAGTTCAATGACCGTTTCAAACGGTCACTGAATTTTGAAAAGTGGTCAGATCGGCCACTTAATTTTTTATATTTTTCTCTATAATTACTCATGCCAATTTTCAATTTTTTCATACAACAATACAACATTCCAAATTTTCAACAACTCTCTTCCACAATTCTACAATATACTACATTCATTTTTACAATTTTATCTTCAATTTCAATTATTCAATATCAATTCATTTAATTATCACACTAAAAATTTACAATTATAAATTCGCAATCTTATACACACCAACTTTCTTTCCATACTCTTTACTTAGTGGAGCCTTAGTACTTACTATACCATCTATACATTTTAATTTCATTTCAATTCACAAATGGATCCACACTCATTTGTTGAGGGCTTGTTCGATGTCGGAGGCGAATCACCTATAACACCCCAAAATCAATTTCGGAATGAATTTTTCGATCTAAATGAAGTATCCATTCTCGAAGATATTCCAAATTTGGCTGCTTATAGAAGCAATAATCCAATTTATTTGGATGACGTTTATGTTCCCAAAGCAGAATAGGAGGAGGAAATTGAATTAAACATTCCCGATGTAAGAGGGAAACGAAGGGGGAAAAAAAGGAAAAATGTTGGGATCATTGTAAATTGATTTCAACGGGTCATGTGGTCGATGGAGTCATAGAGTCTAAAGCAGTATGTAAATATTATTAACAATGATTGGCGTGGCAAAAAGGTATTGGTACCACCCACCTCAACCGTTATTACAAAGCATATGTGGTCAAACATGAACTTTTTGAAGCTGGTCAAACACAATTGCAATTTGGTAGCCTAGACATCGGTTCTTCGATTTCGTCCCTCATCACGTGAATGTATTCGGAGAAGTATGCTCGAACGAGAATGGTAAAACTTGTTGCCGGTGCTGAGTTGCTTCTAGCAATAGTGGGCAACCAACATTTTGTCTGTACGTAAAAGAATATCTTCAACTGAGGTACGTAGGGGTAAGTCGAAATATTCTTCATTCAGATACAATAGAATATTTCATTCAAACAAAATAACAATTGATTATGGATTTGCAAAAATATAGGGTGTTATGTCTTTAATTTCGGATATATGGAAAGTGATTAATAAAAGAACTTATATAGCTGCAACTGTACACTACATAGACCCATCTTAGTGTATGCATAAAAAAATATTACTTTTAAAATTATTGAACTTCTTCAGAATGCTAACAATACATATAATGTTACTATGAGCATTATTAGAAAATATCATTGCAAAAGTAAAATTTATTCTTTTATATTCGACAATGCTAGTGTTAATAAAGTAGTTATCAATAAATTGTGTAGAGAATTGCAGCTTGATTTCGATGTTTATTTGTTCCATATTCTTTGTGTGTGCCATCTTTTAAATTTAATTGTGCAAGATGATTTGAAACATATTAAAGATGAAACGCAAAGAACTAGGAATGTACTAATATATATCACAATCTCCCCTAGTAGAAAACAAGCATTTGAGGAATTTTGTATCAAATTTGGAGTGACGAATACAAAAACATTTGTTAGTAATATAGGGCATAGATGAAACTCTACTTACTTATTATTAAAGTTATGCGGATGTTTTAAATATTTAATAACTGAGTTTTATAGCAATATGCATATTAGAAACGATGACAACACTATTTTAAATGAATCCAATTGGCTTTTAACTTTAAATTTAAAAAAAAAAAATTGACGACTTTTTGTAACTCTACAAATATTTTATCTTGAGTTTACTATTTCACTAGCTGTATGCTACTTGAACATCTTTATATAATTGCAAGGATATCTCATAAGTATAAAAATGATCCCGATTTTAATGCAATTATATATTTTACGAAATTAAAGTTTAGAAAATATTAGGAAGACTTGCTTATGTTATTTTCTTTAGCATGCATCATGGACCTCTGATATAATTTATCGGAGAATAAATATGTAATTGATCGGATTTTAAGAGTTTTAACCTTTAATACACTTATCACGTATAGAAATTTAGAACAAACTTTATGTGAAATGTATGAATTATATGCAGAACGAATGGACACAAATAATATTCGAGTACCATCTGTACCTATCCCTTCCACTGATATTGAAGAAGATAAAACTGAAATATTAGCTTTATTCGAAGTCATTAACACGTATAGATATGACGCAAATGCAATATGTTCATCTAGTAATAGTTTGTATTCTATATGTAATCAAACATCAGACGCAAGTTCAATGCATTGCCTGCTGAATTAATTGATTATTTTAATCATAATATGACTACCAACAAAATAATTAAAAAAAAGTTTAGAAGAAGTTATTAAATTCTAACAAAAGTACGAAAGACGATGGTTAGTGGTTTTTGCAATTGCAAAAGACCAACTGACACATTCGGTTAACACTGTAGCTTAGGAATCTTCTTTTACTGAAGATAAAGGGGTTTTGTTCTAGGTCAGGAGCCAGCTGAAATAAAATATTTTGGAAGCATTAATGTGCGTAAAGGATTGGTTGGACTCTCAATTCTTACTACAAGATAAATATGCCGAAATTTTATGTCGTCAGTTAAGTGATATTTAATTCAATCATATTAATCAAAATTTGTTATTTTATAATATTATTTTTAATTTTCTTTAAAAAATTGTACACATTACAAATTGTTTGTATACAATTTTTAATTTCACTTACTCAAAATTTAAGTAACTGGTCTTAAACCTGAATAAAGGAAAAGGATTTATATTTTTTTATAATTTTTTTAAAAGGGAAATTACAGGAGCTCGCGAGCTGAAGCTGGGCTGAACCACGAGCCATGAACTCAGCTCATGCTCGCTCGTGGGTGTAAGGGCTG